GGCCGGAGGGCATAGTGGAAAGAGTGTAGGATAGGGCACAGATCCCTGGGTTCACACAGCCCTGGTCTGCCATTAACCAGCTGTGAGACTTAAAGCAAGACATTTAATTTTTCTAAGCTTCCTTTTCCTAACCTGCAAATGGGTTAGAGTTACAGTGGAAGTGCCTTTGTACAACTTCAATAAACAGTAGGTGCTGTAATTAATCTTCATTACCCCGGTGTCATTAGATCAGGTTGGTGGCTGGGAGATGTATAATAGCTAACACACAGGTGCTCCTTTTAGAGACGGAAGCTACATAGAGCATGGGGTCCCAGGCAGCTGGCTGGACCGGCCAGGTACTATTCTAACGAAAAACTGTGCAGCCTTTACTAGGGTGGTGAGGGCGGGTTCCATCTGTGCCGTGACCCCACAAACAGCAAGCCTCTTCTCGGGAGAGGCCGCACATCTTAAAAGAAATGCCTTCAGAATTCATTAAGGGCGAGCACAAAGCAGACATTCATAGATGAAAATCTCAAAGGTCATTGGGAAACAGCTTTCTTCACCTTCTGATGGAGGCCGACCTCATGCGGCTAATGTCCTACGTGACCGAGCGCTCAGGCCCGGCTAAAATGGAAGCGGCCCAATTAGGCCAGAATGAAAAGAGGCAGCGAAAGGGCTGGAGACTGAGGAAAGAGCAAAGGAAAAGCGCTGTAGATTAGGTCAGTTTATTACGTATCTGCCCGCTAATCACCGCGCATGAAGCCCAGCAGGAAATCATCTTGTCTCCAAGTGAATCACAGCTTTACAGCAATTTGACAATGAAAGAAATGGGGGTTCTCTCCAAGCTGCTTACTTACTACATTGTTTGAGGGAAGAGGCTTCGGGGAGAAATATAAACAGGGAACCTGCAGAATCTGCAATATTATGACACAAAAATGAACTCTCTGTGTGTGATGTGTCCATGTGTCGTATGCGGTGCTGTGTGCAGTGTATGTATGTCCGTGTGTGCAGTGTGTGACTGTGTCTGTGTATGCACAATATGTGTGGTATGTGTGTGGTGTGTGTATGTATGTGTAGTGTTGCGTGCATATGTGCAGTGTCTGTATGTATGAGTGTGGTATGTAATGTGTATGTACGTGTAGTGTTATGTGCATACGTGCAGTGTATGTATGTGTGTGTAATGTGTATGTGTAGCGTTGTGTGCATATGTGCAGTGCATGTATGAGTGTGGTGTATGTATGTATGTGTAGTGCTGTGTGCGTCTCTGTGTGGTGTGTGTAATGTGTGTGTGTTTAACGTGTGTGTGTGTGAGTGCATGCGCACTGAAGCATGGAGCAGGAAGGCAGGGTGAGGGTAGGAATCAAGAGGCAGCTGAAGACTCTCTTCCCCTTTGATTTTTGACTGTTGCTTCAAATTGCAAAGATTTTATATACTTTTGGGATTTCCTTAGTAAGGCCCTTTCATGGAATGGGAATTATAATTTTACCCAAATGACTTATTCAGAAAAAAAGACCTAGAAATCATGTGGTAAAAATAGTGTGTGCAAATGCAGGATGGAGTGTGTCAGGACAGAAGAAAACCACAAAACCAGTGTGGGACCCTCAAAAGGGAGGGAGGAGGGAGGGGAAGGAGGGAGGGGAAGAGACCTTTAGAATCGCTGGGAGACAGCTGAGTTTGGTGGAAAGACAGTACTTGGAACCCTGTTCCCCTGGGTACTGGGTACCAATCCCAGGTAAACCTCGCTGAGCCTGTGACTTTGGGCAAGTTCATTTATGTGTCAAACTTAATGGTGCTCATTTGTTAAAGTAAAGGTTCTTATATCCAGCTCTTACGAAGGTTTTAAGGCTGCAGTTCTGGCACGAGACAGGCTCTTGAAAGTTGTTAGTTCTTTCTTGGTCTATCCTTCCTTTCCCTCCCAACGGCTGGCACGCTAAGAGATGAGCTGCGTCATGGGGATGGAGAGGAGCAGGAAGAGGAGGAGGAGGAGGACCGCGGTTTGCGGAGAAGGCAATTACTCCGTGCCGCTGCAGACAGACCTGCAGGCGGACAGCACCTCCGGCCAAGCAGGCCCTGCCCCCACCGTCACTTAGCAGGTGCCCAGAGGGGAAGCATCAATCTGCACAATAAAACTTTCTTGTTTCAAAGAGCAAGAGCAAAAGAGCAAAAGGAAAAAAGCCACAAAAATCAGAGGGAAAAAACTGAGAGAGAGCGATGGAGACTAAAAACCAGCCCTAAACAACTTAACCCTGGACATGAGCAGGCAGAGAGGGAAACGCGCTGATGTCATTTTATTAACATCTCGGGGGCCACAAAGTGTACAGAATGGCAAGAAGTATAAGGCCGGGTTCATGCTAATTCTTGCTGGAGAGAAGTAGATTAATCTCATTTCAAACAGGCATCCATCACAGAGATACACAGAATGTTAACTAAAGGGCAACATGAAATATGCCTGGAGCCGATCGATAAGTCTGTGTCCCACTGCACTGAGCTGAGTGGGGAAGAGACGAGGGAGCCGGGGGCCAGGGCGTGAGTCTGAGCAAATGTCTGGGAGATGAAAGATTAAAGGGAAGAAACACCAGGACAAGGGAAAGGAGCAGACATGGGAAAAGGGAGAATCAGGTAAATGTAGGGTGTACAAAGAGCTAAGAGAAACTGAAGAGAGAGAGAGGAAAACAGGGAAGGGGAAGGGAGACCAGCAGAAAGGGAAGGAAGAGGGAAAGGGGAGGCAGAGGGGAAATCGGTGGAGAAAAGCAGTGGTGGAATTTGGCCTAAGAGCGGAGAAGTGAAGCAGAGCCAGGGACCGAAAATGGAAGAGGGGAAGGAGCAGGAAGACAGAGTGGGTGACACTCAACTCATCTTCTAATTAAACTGGGGCAACTTCTTTTTATGCACCTGTGCCCTTAATTCAGAAAGAAAAAGCAGCCTGAGAGCAGACTATTGTGAGGGTAATGACTCCAGGGAGACTGGTGGCCTAGGCTGCCTACTTTTACTGAATAAACCCAGCAGATTAGGCGCCCCAGCGTTAGGATAGCTGTCTATATGCAAAGTCCCACCATTAGCATGTGTGCAGCGCCGAGCGCAGCCCAGCAGCCTTGCAGAGCTGAGCGTTGCTTCCTGGCCTCCGGGTGAGGACCACCCTCAAGGCCGGACAGGCTGCACACAGTAAAGGCAGTTGTCTGCCGCGTTCACCCTGGCGGCCAGGGGCAGGGTGCAGCAGGAGAGTGTCTGTCACCTCTGGTTGAACGAGAGCAAAGGGGCTGGTACCGGAGAGGAAGGGATGGAGTGGAGGGGGAGGAGAGGGGAGCCGTTTCTACCGCTGCTCGTCAAGAGCCACGGTAGAAACGGCTGCGGAAAAAGGACCCATTTAGGATAAAGCTAGATATCAATTATTTATACTCTCTGTGATCCCGGTGAAGGATATAAGGTGAGCCTTTCGTCTCGCTTTCTCGCTTATACATTTTGTCTGTCTCTATTCCCTCTCCCGTCTTCGTTCCCTGGAGAATTCCTTCTCCAGTTTTGAAATTTCTTTCCTCTTGTGCTCCCACCTTCTCAGACCTTCTCTAGGTTAGAGACCCCTCCTTCTTGCTCCCAATAACATGCCAATTTTGCTTTTTTCATGGCACTTAATACACCTCAGTGAAACTTCCTGCTTCTGTGTCTTTGCATCCCTGGATCACCTCCATCTGTCTCTATCTTCTCCTGGGCCATGGCTACTGGTCCATGGGCTTCTTACAAGCAAAGCTGTAACCCAGCCACCGTCCTACCTCCAGGTCCCAGCTCAGTGCCTGGTGCATGGTGCCTGGTGCATGGCAGTGCTGGACCGATGCTTTTTGAGCTGGAATGAACAGATTCAATCTCACTCTCTCCTACCCTCATAATCCCATGGTTTGTGCCACTTATCACAGCCTCCCCCAGTATAGCCCCTCTCTTTTTCCCAAATCTCTGCTGATCATGGCTAGAAACATGATTCTGATTCCTTCTCAGTCCTGACTGCTATTGTCTTAATCTTGAACTTGGCCCTGAATTTCCCAAATTAGTTTTAGGACAAGTATTTATTTTGTTTTATTATGCCCACTACTCTCCCTGCAAAGTTCAATCAGTAAATACAGAGTTGCAAAGTGTGAAAACACCTGTTAACCACACTAAACTCTAAAACAATCAAAAGAGAAAGCCTCATGCTTTCTCACCTTGGTCCTTAAACTAACATTCATATTAACTTTTAAACAACTGCCGGAGGGGAGCCACAACTTTGAGCAAAAGTCATATTTCTTTTGCACAGGGATTCATGCTAGTCTTGTAGTTTTCAGAGCAACCTTGAGGGTGGGAGAGTAGAGTTCAAAGCAGTGGCTTTGTGAGAATGGCCAGCTGCATCCGGGTCAGCTCGCTGGTATTTTGCATGAGATTTCTAGCAAGAAGATTATGGGTAATTTGAAAAACAACTGTATTTGTCGATTGATTCCTTCGGCCTTCTTTCTGAGTCTATGATCAGAATTTCCTAAACTTCTAGTACAGTAGAACTACCATTACACGATGACCAATCAAAATAGTTGTTGAATCATGGGTTTTTCCAGCCAATGGGGGGTGGGGGGTGGGGCAATCACCACGTTACCTTGGACCTTTTCTTACTCTGTTTTCTGGTTTTTACTTTTTCATTTTTTATTTGGTCATCCTATAGGCAGACACAAACACGGAATAAAGAAAAGAAAGGCCAAATTTTGATCTAATAATACAGCATGGGAATTGCAGATACATTATAATTCTCTTAGTGCATTATCCATACACAAAATGTAATGAAAAGGAGATAAAAGAAAACTTAATTGCCATTAGAGAATAAAATAGGATTTCCACTTACATCTTGAAAGGCAGCTAGTCTTAAAAATTAATTCATTTGGGGACTTCCCTGGTGGTGCAGTGGATAAGACTCCACACTCCCAATGCTGGGGGCCCAGGTTCGTTCCCTGGTCAGGGAACTAGATCCCACATGCATGATGCAACTAAGAGTTCACGTGCCACAACTAAGAAGCCCACCTGCCACAACTAAGACCTGGTGCAACCAAATAAATAAGTAAATTAAAAAAAATTAATTCATTTGATAAATGTTCAAGTTTCTTCCTCACTTTTTTATTTTGAAATCTTAAATACTACACTTTTTAAAAAAATTGAAGTACAGCTGATTTACAATGTTGTGTTACTTTCGGGTGTACAGCACAGTGACTGTTATACATATCTCCATCCTTTTTCAGATTTTTTTCCATATAGGTTATTACAACATATTGAGCAGAGTTCTCTGTGCTGTACAGTAGGTCCTTGTTATCTATTTTATATATAGTAGTATGTGTATGTTCATCCCAAACTCCTCATTTATCCCTCCCCGCCACCTCTGTTAACCACGAGTTTGTTTTCTATGTCCCTGGGTCTATTTCTGTTGTGTAAATAAGTTCGTTTGTACCATTTCTTTTAGATTCCACATGTAAATGATTATCACATATTTGTCTTTCTCTGTCTGATTTACTTCACTTACTATGATAATCTCTAGGTCCCTGCATGTTGCTGCGAATGGCATGACTTCATTCTTTGTTATGGCTGTTTCTTTTTGGATCCCTAGACCGCTCCCTCCTGCATTGAGCCGGGGGCCTGACAGGAACAAGAACACTCACCTGCACCATGCCCAGTCGCCCCAGGAAGCCATCCAATCGCACGAAGACCACAGAGGACTGGAAATCCCACTCCCGGACTTCCTGGTTCTCTTTGAAGTAGGAATGGAGATTCTCCCTTCTGTCCTGAAACACCAGCTTGAAGAAGCTCAAGGTGTCCACGACCACTTGCAGTTTTCTCTGACTTTCTTCCACCTCACTTCTCAGGAGGTCTTCTGGGCTGAGATAATTAGAGGCCTGGAGGGCAGACAGGTTAGTGGCACTAAGCCTGGCTACAGGTACAGGACGGCCCACAACTCTGCCCAGCCCACAGCTCTCAACTGAGTAACTGCCCAACCAACGTTTTTCAGAAGCCTAATATAGGAAACGTCGGACCCCATCCTCAGTTCCACAGGCAGACTGGAACCTGGGTTCAAGCCATAGTCAGTGATTGCAAGTGACCAACCAGAGACAAGAAAACACAGTGAGACTTTCCTTGGGCTAGCTGGGGCTGGGCAGGTGTCCTTTCCAGGTGTTTCGTTGTGACTCATTGGCTTTCTATAGTAAATAATTCGAGTGCACAAATTCTTTGAACCAGAGGCTTGAACCTGGAAAGCTGTGAGTCTGAATCCACTGGACAGCTATCTTCACCACCACAGGGAAGGGCCAAAATAACTGGGTCCTGGTGACCTCATCCAGGCCTCACTGTAACCCAGGGCTGAAGCCAACCTTTCCTTGGACTTCTGAGATAAATGAGCCAATAAGTTATCTTTTTGTTGATGCTAGTTTGGGTTGGGTTTTCTTAGACTTTCAATCATAAGAGTCCTGGCTGACAAAAATGCAGTGATGGAACATCGCTGGTCTAGGAGTCAAACAATTAGCTTCCGGCCCTGGGTTGGGTGACCTTTGGTGACGCAGTTAAACTCCCTGAGCTGTAGCCCTCATCGTTAAATAACAATAGTAAATTAACAAGGTTCTCCCTGCCCACCTCGCAGGGTTCATCCACAAATGACGGGGATGTCACAGCACTTTGTAGCCTTCAATGTGCTCCACAGATGTGAGCCAATCTGGCGGGGGGCTGATCACCCAAACCTTGTTAAAGGCCTCATTCTGTTTACAGGTACCCTCCTCAAGGTTTACGCTGCCCTGGTTGGTGCTACAGGGGTCCCTAAGGAGCAAAGAGCATGTGAGCCAAGAAGCTGTTTCTACATAGCTCACGGGCAGTGAGTTCTTAGCACGTGGGGGCATGATGTGAGCCTTGCCATACAGGATCACACTGGAGCCTCACAGCCACCCAGCAACTCTCTGAGGCAGGTCCTCTTCTTCCCACCCTTGCACAGAGGGAGAGTGAGGCACAGGGCAGGTGAGAGACTCACCCAGGCACACACAGCTGACAAGTAGTGATGTGGGATGTGGCACAGGGACGCCTGACTCCAGAGGCAGCATTCTTAGCTGCTGGGCTTTGCTACTGACCTAATACCAGGCCGTTAAGATCCTTAAGGAGGTTGAAATTTACCACCCCGACCCTGCGCCTGACCCGGGTCCTCCCAAGGATCCCAACAGGACTGAGAACACCTTTGTGAGTTACTGGCCATGATGATAAAACAATTCAAGTCTGAGAACCCTTTGGACCCTAATTATTTCCCTGTCCTGAGAACAATGGACACTTTATTCTTCTCATGACTCGGAGCCATCCAGCGAGAGGCTGGGGAATCCTGGGCGCAAACCTGCTGGACCAGAAGGCTGCAGATCTCCTGCAGCAGCACCATCAGACGCCCAGGGCAGCGGTACAGCTCACACGTGGCCCATATCAGGCAGACCACGTGCAGCAGAGGCCACAGCCGTGGCTTCACCTCAGGAAACTCCAGGCTCTCGAGCGTTTCCAGGTGGCGGTGCAGCGGCACCAGGTGCGTGTGGATGTCCCGCGCCTCCATCAGAGCTGGAAGGAATTGGAGATGATGGTCACCTTCCTGGCTTGAGGCTCACACACACGGAGCGAAGCCCTGGGGCCTGGGAGTGAAGGATCTGCAAGGCAATGGTTGCGATCTCTTCCTGCACTAAGGGAGCAGAGAGGGCTGGTCCCTGAAAACTTTCTAGCTCTTATGAGGAAACACTGAAAACAGAAGAGCCTGGGCAGCTGGGATAGTGGTCTGAGGAGGCTCTCTTACAAAAGTCCGGTATCTGGACCTCTTCCTGGCCCTCCCAGCCCCAGTCTGGTGCTCTGCATGTAGAAGATGCTCAGTAACTGTTTGCTGTTTCCTTTGCTGCTGTTACCTCCAAGGCAATACAAGACAGATGACAGAGGACAGGTTTTAGAGTCAGAGAGATCTGCCTTCAAATGCTGATACATCAAATGTATGACCTTGGGCATGTTTAACCTCTCTGAACCTCAACAACGGGCTGAACAGTAACTAATTTAAAGGTTTCTCATGAAAGTCTGAGGGCAGCACACACAGAATCTTCATATACAGCTAGCTCAGTGCCTGGACCAAAGCAGGTGTTCCATACATGGTAATGTCTCTGATAAATATTTGCTAATAAAGAATCTCATGAAGCTCTTACAGAGGAGAAGTCACAGGGAATACAGAAATAGCCCAGGCTGATTATGGAAAGGTTCTGCTGGTATTCAAAGCCGGGAAATCTCCTGCCATTTCCTTTGAATGCAGGCAAGGAAAGAGAGCGGCTTCCACCAGCCATCCTGTGGTGGCTGAGAGGGGAAACTAGGAAAACCAGTAGCTCTGGGCACAAATTCTGCAGAGCCACTTACAGGGAATGCAAAAGTCTGCTGAACAAACTGAACGGGAAGGGAGGGTTTATAAAGGCTGGTTCTTTCCTGGGCAGATAAGCAGGCACTGTCATGTGACAGCAGATGGTCTTGGGTTATATTACGTGGATGAAGCTCTGCATTCATCCTAAAGGAAACTCAAAATATGTATTACTGTATTTAGTAAGCAGTTTCAATATGCCAGGCACTGTCCAACTCACGAGACATATACCAACTCATAGAAAACCCTGTGAGGTAGCTTTACTACTCTACTTTATAAGGAAAGACATTACGATCTAAATAACTTGCCTAGACTGTGAATCGGCCACCCCTGCCCAGCTGAGTAAAAGGAAGATTATACCCCAAGCTTATCATGTTGAAGCCCTGGCTTGATGGCTGTGGGACTCACTACACACAGGAGTTTGAGAGGTGTACTTTATATCCCAAATGGACTAGTGGGAAGGACTATGTGAATCCAATATTTGAAAGCCAGATGTCATGGTAAATTGATTAGAGCAGCGATTCTTAAATGGGGGAGCTGATGGGAGTATCAGAACCACTGTGGGGTGGGGGGTGTCAGAATCCAACAGCCCCTCCAATGAGCACACGCTCGGGCTTTCACGTGGGCCTCGAGGGAAGAGAAACTGAGACCATTGTGCCAGAGGAGCTTCCTTTTTATGTTATATTTTTTAATAAGCAAAATCTCCTTTAATCATACATATAGGCATGCCCCTGATTTTTAAGAGCTCAACGTTTGAGGGCCAGCTCATCTATTCCAGGGTGCAATCACCTTGGCTCACAAGCCAAATGAAGACAGAGATGAACAGAGTTAGGCGCACAGCTTTTAAAAATTGCAAATATAGGGACTTCCCTGGAGGTCCAGTGGTTAGGACTCCGTGCTTCCATTGCAGGGGGCCTGGGTTCAATCCCTGGCTGGGGACCTAAGATCCCACAAGCCACACAGCATGACCAGAACAAAACAAAACAAAACAAAATTCAAACATAAACCCCAGCTGCACAGAGATATCTGTGGTTTGCTGATAAATCTTTAATAACAAGCCCTTCTGGGACAAAAGCCTTGATCTCAAAAGGCTTTAGCATTTGCCAGTTTCTGGGGTGTAAATACTCCCAATCTTCCCACCATGTCTGATCTCAAGCTACTAACTTGCAGTCACTGAGTGCTAGGGAGGGCGCTTTGAAAAGGGTTGCGTACAGTGGGCTCTCTTGAGAAACTGTGAGCCAGTCCACATCAGCTCCAGAGAACCCCTGGCCTTTACTTCTCTCCACCCACATCTGCCCACAAATATCCTGGACTGGCAACTGGGCCGTACTGTGCCGACCCTGTTCCCTAGTGGCCAGAGGCGAGAACTCCCCACTTAGTCTTTACTGCCCTGGTCCTTTCCCCTCCAGGGTATCTTTACTTCCGGTTTCCAAGGTTCTTCGTTGCCCAGACAATTCCACTTCAGACAATCTTGCTCCCACACATTTTCCTACATCCTTTTAACCTCCTTCTTTACTTCCCACGTGCCCACTAATCCAGGACTATCTCTTTTCCTCTCCTTCTCTTCCATCCATCTGTAAGCCAAAGAACTACCCTGATTGTGACTGGTAAGAACAATGCACATAGTATATCTGTGCAGAATAAAGACAGATGCTCTGAAATGGGAAAATCAGTTGCAAGCTTCTAAAATATATTTATTCTCCACAGACCCCACCAATATTTCTGACCAAGTCTCTACCTGGCAACTCTAATCAAAATTTCTTTTCTTCCATCATCGGGATTGAGTTATATATTTTAAGGATTTCTATTTTTACAGTGGTGTTTCTCTGGGACTATTATGATGATATTGTTGTTTCTAACTTCTTTTCATTGCTGTCCTATACTCTTCTGCAAACAACTTTTAGAAGCTGGCCTGGGGAACCGAATCTTTTATAACTATTAATCAATGTGAATGACTGTACTCTATTAACCTATTAATGTGAAAAATATATTTGGGGCTCTAAATAACCAACTCATAAACATACTTTTACTGTATGTTTTATTTCAGAGCCTCAAAGTTCAGTCCTTTGCATAGCTCCTTTATGATATTTGTCATGACTGCCTACGACCTGTAGTATTACTTCATACTTTTCTCTGAATTGACTCTCATTTTAGCCTAAATAAAATCATATAAAATGAAAACTTTAAATCTCTACTATAAATGGAAAACTTGTATCATGTGCCAAAAACAGTTACCCGTTAGCACATTTTAAAATACACCTGTCCATACATCTCCCACAACCATCTCTCACACCAGCAGTGGTACACATATCACTTTTGGGGACACGATCTCATTTGAATTGGAGTATAAATTGGGAATAACAGTTGATTCCTCTGGCACACAAAATCTCTCTGAGAAGCAATAAACTGAGACCCCAACAGGGACCCCATTCCAAGCCAGCTCTAGATGCTGGCAGAGCAGCCTCCGGGATGAGATTGTAGGGCCCAGAAGGACCTCAAAGACCAGCTACTTAAGCCAGTTCTTCTCTGTTATAAAGTGCATGTCAGAAACTCCACCACTGGAACTTTCATTCCTTTATCTGAGTGGTTTCCAAACCCTATGGGAGAAGGTGGGACAGGGGATCCACCAATGGGCTCTGGACACAGGACACTCCCTCTTTAGCAGAGCAAATACACCTTGGCAAGTTTTAAATTTTGGACTCACACAGGAGATTGCATTGAAGGAAAGTTCTGATAGAGAAAAAGTGTTTGAAAATCACTGCTTGGGTTAAGCTCAAATTATATGAAATTGCAAACACCTTTAAAAGCACATTCTGACCTACAATAAGGAAGAGCTGGGAGGAGTTGTGATAGGAGAAAGGAAAGAAGCAAAGTGCACTGATGAGGAGAGAGGGAGCCCTAAAAAATTCTACCTCTTTCTAATTATAGACTTTGCTGGATTTGCAGTTTTGACAAGGGCCGATCTTGTCTGGTGCTCAGATGGCCAGGAAATTGCAGTCCCATCTGACAGGAGGCGCAAAAAACGCAGAATGGAGCTAGAAATGGAACAGAGACTTCCCGAAGAGCCAGGGGGTGGAAGGAGGTAAACTGCAGAGATGGGGGATCACAAAGCACATTTGCCACTGTGGTAGAGTCAGTAAGGAACTTCCGCCTAGCCCACCTTACAGCAGCCCAGGGAAGCAGGTGGGAAGTGTGTGCGCTGTTCCATGGCACACTCGAAAGCTCAGAGAGGTGAGGCGACTCTGTCAAGGGCACAAAGTGCTGGAAATGCAGACAGAGCACAGGGCAGCTGCTTCCCTGCCTCTACATTTGGCCTTCTTGCCTCTATGCTAGACTGTCTCAGGTTGGAGGCTATAAGGACTGGAAGCTGCTGAGATCAGAGAGGAAGATAATTCAGCATAAATACGAAATTTGAGTCAATTTATGAAAATACTTGCGGGTCCTCACCTGCTACAACATCTCTGAACATGGCTTGGAAAGCTGGGAAGTAGCTGCTCTGTAGCTTGTCCAGAAGCCCCGCCATGCCCCTCACCTTTACCGTTCTCAGTTGATTATAAATGTATTCCAGATCCTCAGACCTGCAGCACCAGGAGAAGAGTGAACCCAGGTGAACATCAGGAAACACAAGTCACGCTGCAATGACCCACCCTCAGATAGAGAGAGGAAGCCTGCCTCAGGGTGCTTCCGCAGAGGCCTCTGTTCTCAGAACAGTGAGGACCAAAGCCTGAGTCTGGAACACAGGTTCAAAGGGGCAGCTCCAGGAGGTAGCAGCAGGGAACACTGCTGTGACCATCTGGTGGCTCAAAAGCTTGGCAGCTGGAGCTCATTGGCTCTTGCAGGCAGGTTTGGGGTGGGGTGAGAGAGGTGTCAGGGTAAGGCTGCTGGAGGAGGGCCCCGCAGTAGGTCATCAGAATGGTCAGAAACCAGGCAAGAGGATGGGGCATCTCAGCACGGGGTGCAAGTGGGACTGGAGCCCTACAGGCATGCCTGGTCGCATGACATGCAAGGACAGGGACACCTGCCTCAAACGTCTGTCTGTCTCCTTTTGAGTAGAAGATTAATCAGCACAATGATAACTAGGAGCACGGAAATGGAGAGGAAGAGAGGGAATGAGCAAGAGCAATAATTATGTCTTTCTGGAACCTGTGGGGCTAAGACACAGTGGACAATGGACTAATGACCGCCTGGAACCTAGGAGACGTCGTTCAGTGGTGAACTGCCAAAACCCCTCTTTCTCCAGATCCTACAAAAAATGTGTGCATACTGACTGTCCAAGGAGAAGGGAGTAGACACTGGAAAATATGAAAGAGAGATAATTAATTTTACATGTAATTGAAAGAGCCTTTGAAGAAGTGCCAGAAGATACACTGACGGTAGCTCAAGAAACGAGGCATGACTATTGAACCTTGGGGAAAGTGTCAACTCCCAGTGCACAGAAGAACTGCATTGACCCAAATGACATCAAGCTGTCTGCTCCAGGGGTGATGAGAGATGCCTGGGGGTGGGACCAGACTCAGTGGCTGCCTCCCCCAGCCCATTATCCTCTGAGAGACATCTGCTCCCCAGGGTTTGAGCCTGTGCCTACCTGCTCTTCCAGAACTCCAACTCCACCTGTGGGGTGGGATTCTCCCCCTCTAGGAGAGCCTGGGAAGACTCCCTCTTGAGCACCACCTGGACCTGATGGCTCCACTGGATCACTGCAGACTCAATGGCATACATGACTGACTTATCCATAGAATCCAAGCTGTGAAAGACACAACAAATCTCCTGGGACACTGGAGATAGCTTAACTCTGGGTGTCCCCCAAAACAGAATCCCAAATCTTTTAAAAACAGGTGGGAAATTCCACTTAGTCCAAGCGCTCTTTTTTTTTTTTTTTTTTTTTGCGGTACGCGGGGCCTCTCACTGTTGTGGCCTCTCCCGTTGCGGAGCACAGGCTCCGGACGCGCAGGCTCAGCGGCCATGGCTCACGAGCCCAGCCGCTCCGCGGCATGCGGGATCCTCCCGGGCCGGGGCACGAACTGGCGTCCCCAGCATTGGCAGGCGGACTCCCAACCACTGCGCCACCAGGGAAGCCCAGTCCAAGCGCTCTTAACTTTTGTTGGATAACAGGCTCTAACGAGTAGTCAGTGAAAAGTACAGATCTCCTCAGACAAGCTGCTTATGCATGTGTGTATAGAGTTATTCACACACAATTACTCAAGATTCAGAGGTTCGCCAATATTCTGAAGGCTAGTTTAAGAACTCTGAATCCTATCAAGTCTTTCTGTCAGTGCAGGAATACACTGGACAGAAAACATCCAAATGGTCACCCAACCCTTGCTTGAGTCCCACCAATGCCAGCCAGCTCCCTACTTGACAAGGCAGCACATTCCTCAGATCAGCTCTCCCTGGGAGACAGTTTGTCTCTACTTTGAACCACGTCTATTGCCCTGCCAGTCCCTCATTTGGTCTTAGTTCTGACCTCTGCAGTAAGAGGAAATAGGTTACTTTCTCCTCCACAAGGCAAGCTATCAGACATCCAAACATTACTATCCTTTGTCCTCACTTTTCTAATGAAGAATGCAATTCCCATGCATTCCCCCCATACACCTTCTAAATAAACTAACTAAGGATGTTTGGAAGGGGTTAAAAATCAAAAATACATTTTGGTTGCCTTTTCACAAAGTCTGAACTGACAATAGCTCATGCCAAGAACCCAGGACATGGGTGACAAAGAAAGAGAATCTGTCATTTGCATTTTCATGCCGGAAACCTACCTTCACTTAATTTAATTAAATTCATATTTGCTGAGCAATGATATGGCACAAGTGATTATGGACGGTATTAAAGAGCGAAGATACTCACCTCCCTGAAATATGATCCGACCTTTTGGGAAATTATCGAATTTGAACAAAGGGAGACAAACTCAGCAATGATTATATACACACACAGTGAATGTTATTATGTTAAAAGAGAAAAGGAATAGGAAAAGGGTAATTTGAATTTATTTATTTTGAAAATTGTGTATTTTTATTAAACCACAGTAAGTTTTACAGTTAACCAGGAAATTGCTTCAAATTATACATGTAGCAAATTACTTCCAACAGCAAAAACTCATTATAAAGTACATTGCTATCCCATGCATTACTTATTCTTCAGATAAAATCATGGGCCCTGAATACACAATGATGACATAATACCTTTGGAGACTCCCGGCAATATGGCAGACCGAGCACATGTAGGAATATGGCCTGTTGCCACAAACATATAGAAATGCTGGATAGAAGATGATTAAAAAATAGCATTTAGATACATAGCCTCGTCTGAATGAAAAAGAAAAGAATCCCCACAGGACAGAAGCAAACCTGGAATGGTAAGTGGAAGCTGATAGTTGGTATCACTCTTACATGGAGAAGAGGATGAGGCTTTAATGTCTTCCCAGGCACAGGAGGCATGGACCTCAAGCCTCAACAAAGCCAGATTTGTTTCTGTTTGGAAAAAAATCCCCAGGACCTGAAAAAAGTCTCCAGCTGCTGGGGGAGGAGGGTCTGGACAGTGACAGTGTGTGCTGGGTAAATGCTGGGAAGAGGCGTGCTGTCTCCCAGACCGGACCTGGGTCTTTGCCAATGATGAGACACTGTCCTGATAAGCGAGACACTGTCCTGATAAGCGAAACACTGAAATCAGCGTGGCTACTCTCAGCCCTGAAATAGTTCTGAGCACAAAAAAGGCCATGTTGCGTGACAGCCTTAAAAGACGTCCGGCAGACGGATTGGGGCGAGGGTAGTCATCAGCACAAAACATACAGTCTGAGGATGCTGGCAAACAGTGGGCTTGTGTGCAGAACAAAGAGATATGCAGAGTCAGGAACAGAAAAGTCGTAAAGAAAACACTCAGATAAACCAGCATCTCCCATATCTCTGAGGCCCATATGGCCAGCCTGGTGGTACTTACGCGGTCTCACTTTCAGGATCTACAAACCCCATTTTTTCTGAGCCGACTGGAAGAGGCAGCAAAGTTTTCCCCTTCGCTTGCACAAGGAGAACCAAGAGGTCACATTGGAGGCTGTGGGCGTGTCGCTGGACATCTTGACAAACCACGTGGGACCAGTCTAGGTGATTCTTCTCATTGGCCAGGATGGGGATGACAACCTGGGACAGACGTGCACAGGAAAGAAAGGGAGGCAACTTCTGAAACCCTAAAGACTATTCTGAGAAAGGTCGAGAGAGCTACATACAACCTTTTTGCAGGTCCCTGTTCTGTAAGACCTAATTATTAATAACCAACATTATGTACTGCCTTGGCATCTGGTAAAATCGGGAGGGCCTCGAATAGCCTATCCACAAGTTTCCCTGCCCACTCTGCTCCTGCCCGCTAAGGCCCCTAGTCCAGCAGCCCTGCTTATCAAGGGGACCAGGCATGGCCGCCGCCCATCCCTGAGGAGTGGGCTTCAGTTCCAGCCGGTGGAATATTCACGCAAGCCGATCCCATCCCCCCACAGGAACCAGTGGGCACCACACCCTCTCGATAGTACAAAGCTTGCCTCCCACAGCCCCTGTTCATTTGCTCTGTTCCCACATGCAAGCCCCCATGTGGCCCTGCCTGGCACAGCATCTCCCTCCTGTGGACTGTGAGTATCTGTGCTAATAACCTGCAGGCCGTCTCATCTGTCCAGTGTTACGTGTACGGCCACGCCCCCAACCCTAGGGCACGAATCCCTTCCTCATCAACGGGTGAAACTGTCACAAAGGCCAAGAGGCAAAAAACAGGACAGATGCAGGTAAGCATGACCCTCTGTCTACAGGTGGCCTGAGAGGGCATTTTAAAGAAGCAAGCCAAGTTGACGATCTTGAATCTATCTGTAGGGTGAACCTGAGTTGGTTTTGGCCACTGAACATAGCCCCTCTTCTCTTAGTATTCATCTCCAGATCCAGAGGTAGATATGTGAACAATTCTGAGCCAATAAGAGTCAGGCCAAAGTCTTTTATCTGGACATTTTGAGGAAGAGAAGCTTTCTCTCTCTACGAGTCTGGAACAATTGGTGGCCAACCTGCTACCATATGGAGCCTTCGAATATGGTCAATATGGGGAAGAGAGAGTTTATAGATGGAGGAAAAACCAACTCCTATGACATCATTTGAGCTCCTGCATCAGGCTGCTCTTCAACCTTCTGAGCTGATTTAAATTGAGGTTTCTACCATTAGCAACTTAAAAAGTTGTAATTCATGCAACTCACTAGGAACCTCTGCCTGTCAAAAGTTCACAACTAACAGAAAGGGAATACTAGAAAGAAAAACAGATGATCAGGAAATGTGATAAGGAGCTGCCTAGCAAAGACTGAAAAGAAAACACGGACTTAAATGGTTGATTGGTTTCCATATACGACCAGTGAGTCCATGTGGCTATGAGATAGAAGGCCTGAACCCAGCAGATGAAGCCAAGAGAATGATCCTTGCCTGGTCAGTCTGGAAGCAATCACTAAACTGAGAACTTACAACAGCAGGTGAACAGGGGGTGCCGAGAGATAAAATGTCACAAATTGAGCTCTACTCACATTCATGTTAAGAAAGGACCCCTTGGACCCATGGCAGGAGGCCTAACAGGGCAGAGGGGATGAACAAGAATTTTTCTAGGATCTAAAAGGCAGGGACTGTATCTTATACCCACAGTCCTCCCTAGGGTCTGGCATACAGGAAGCACTCAACAGAGGTTCAGAGAATAACTGAAATATATGCTGTCTGAAGAAAAAGTGGTAGGTGGGCTTGGGTGCATTTTGGAGGGTTTTCAGTGATAGAAAAAGAGTGAACATGAACTTTCTATGAAATGAATATTCTCAATGAATATTTATCAAGAGTCTACCACATGCTAGCACTGTTCTAGGTGCTTGGAAGGTACATCAGTGAACAAAGCAGATGAAGATTCCTGACTTGATGAAGTTTATATTCTAGGGAAGAGACAGTCAATAAACCATAAGTTCTGTGGAAAAAAATGAAACAGGTGGGCTGGAAGTGATGTAATGGTAAACAGAGTGATTGGTGCAGATCTCATGGAGAAGGTAACATTTGAACAAAGACTGGGGAGGATAGGGAGAGTGTTGTGCAGACCCTTGGGGGAAGTATATTGAGGGTAGAAGGAACAGCCAGTGCAAAGGCCCTGAAGTGGGAGCATGCCTAGTGTGATCAAGGAGCAGTGTGGAGGTCAGTGAAACGGGGACAGGACTGGCAAGAAGAGTAGGGGTGAGTAAAAGGGGTCAGATCACATGCAGCCCTGCCTGTGGGATTTTGATTTTTACTCTGAGGAATGTAAATCATTGAAGGGTTCTGAGCAAAGGACCAACATGGTCTGACATCTGTTTTTAATAGGATCGCTCCAGCTACTGTGTTGAGAATAGACTCTCGGGGGCAAAAGTGGAAAAAGAGATTGGCTAGCAAGTTATTGCTATAATACAGAAGACAGTGGCTTGGCACAGGGCAGAATAGAGGAGATACTAAGAAATGGTCCAATTCTACATAAATTTTGAAGGCTCAGCCAAAATGATTTCTTAATGGATTAGTCGTGTGAGTAAAAAGGAGTCAGGATGATTCCAAGGTTTGGGACTTGGGCACCAGGAAGAAGGGAACCGCCATAGCTGACGTGGGGAAGAATAATGGTGGAGTTAAGTTCTGTGGGAAGAATTGGGCGTAGGTTCTTGGACACGTTAGAATTTGATAAATCTACTGAACTTCTAAGCAGGGACACTGAATAGGCAGTCAGATTTGGTAGTTGGGAGCTCAGAGAAGAAAAGTCTGGAGATAACAAATCTGGTAGACGGAGATGAGATGACTCATAAGATTCTGAAAGGGAATGAGTGCCCCCCCAAGGAACTGAGTATATACAGAGAAGATGCCCAAGGAATGAGCCCAAGGGCTCTCCAATGTTAGCAAGTTAGCAAGAAGCAGGGGTGGTACCAACAGAGGAAATAGAAATGGTGATGGTGAGAGAAGGAAACCAGAAGACTGGTGACCTGAAAGCCAAGTGAAGAAAGTGCTTCCAGGAGGACAGGGTCACCATGAGCTGTGCCAAAGGCTGCTCACAGGTCAAGCAGGAAAAAGACTGAAACATGGCCATGTGATTCAGACAAGTAGAGGTCACTGGCGACGTTGACAACTCTTTCTTTTCCATGCAATGTGGGGGTAAGAGCCTGACGAGTGAGGAAAAGGATAGGACAAAGCAAGACTAGACACGCAGTCTAGATATTTCTGCTCAGCTTCACGACGGCGGGTATACAGTAGGCAGGGAGTTGGAGTTCACCAGATTTATGGTTTTGCCAAAGACGTACGACAAAGCGAGACAGAGGCCATGATGATAATGATGGAGCACTTGAGCTGGGTAAGGGGGGAAGGATGTGGGTGTGGAGGATGGACAGAGGGCAGGCGGCAGGATCAACGGACTGCAGGTCCCAGCAGGGTCACAGGCTTGTGGTAGGGGGCTGCTGGGGAGAGTGAGCCGGAAAGACAGGAGTAGGGTCAGAGAAAGAGGTGCCTGGAATTGGATCACCAGGGCGTGGTCTGGTAATGCAAGGACTGGGAACAGCACGGGAAGGGGTGGTTAAGATAGGAAGGGCGACAAGGTCAGCGGAGGAGGAAGGTTCAAGGGGCCCAGAGGCCGGGTTAATGAAGGATCACTTATGTGTCTATTGAAACAGCCACGTGTTAAGACGGGAGCAACGCTGGGGGAGAGTCACAGTGAGCAGGAACCCAGCCGTGGGGAAACGAGGGCAGTGCTATCAATTTATGACACAGCAATGAGGGGAGACGGTGGCTTTGTCTAAAGGCATCAGATTCAAACTGGACTGTTTTCCACTTGAATCGAGAAGGAGCAAAGAGGAGCAAGGATGCCTGTCTCACCTCAGAAGCAGAAAGGCTGAGTCTTTGGGGAGAGATGAGTTTGGGTTAGAGCAAAGTGACAAGAGTGGGTGACAGGAAGTGAGGAAGCTTTTAAGGGGGATGTAGAGTCACAGTAATTCTTGTCCTTTAGGGAAAACCTACAACTAATGTTAACAGAGAACCAACCTGACTCCACGTTGTATCTATTCCTTTAGCTCTTACCGTTGTGCTTTGTTTCCTGTCTTAATCACGCTGGCTCTGCATCTCTGTAAAAGGATGTTGCGTAGAGCCTGAAACACACATGACAGCCTATTCCCAAGGTTTTGCCTCCCAGGCTTGACCTTTAAAGGTGTCAACAAAAAGTTGCAGAACAGAGAATAACAATTGTCCTGTTGGAGGTTTACACTGTGACCAGAACTTTGTGAACAGCTGCAAGAACAAAGAATTCAAGCGCCAACAAGTTTGTAATACCAGCCACACCTGCTCCCCCGCTTTAGTACAAAAGAAGCTTGAATTCTACCTCAGGGAAGATGGTTCTACCAGCCCACCATCTTCTTGGGCTGCTGGCATTCCGACTAAAGCCACTATTCTTTGCCCCAACACCTCCTCTCTCGATTTATCAGCCTGCCGTGCGACGAGCACTACAGGCTTGCACTCAGTGATGCTAACACACTCTATTCCAAGCGTCCTGATCGGTTATTTTAAATTTCACGACAAGCCTACAAGGTGCTTCGATCCTGACAGAGGTGAGCTAGCGTGCTCACACCATCCCCACCGAACGCGACAGAACCAGCACTGGAACCCGGGTCCCCCAGACTCCGAATCCCATGCTCCTCTCACGGGGAAAAGGACCCACACTTTTACCGGAAACAAACCTACAGCCTCCCTTCTTCGGCCCTCAACAACCCATCTACCTACGCCCACCGCTGCACTGGCTTAAGGGAAACTAAGGCAGAGGCTATGGAAACGGCAAGGAAGGAAAACCGCAGTACCTGAGGGCAGCGGAATAGTCCAAGATGGCGGCAGGGCATGCACACGCAGAGGCGTCGCGACGCTCGAGGAGAGGCGCTCCCGACGCACGCACGGAGGTTCTGCGCATGCCCGCTCCTCCTGCCCCGCCCCGCCCTTGCTGTTCACCGGGCTCTGTACAAGGCCTCCCTCTCCTCACCCGGGAAGGAGGTGGCGTTTTCAGAGCAGGAGCTTCCCCCTTCTCCATTCCTTGGTTAAAGAATAAAGTTTCTGCTCTGCTGGACCTGGTTTCCTTCATTTGGCACCAGCTGGCACTGGGCAACGGAAGGACCCAGTTGGGGGTCCACCCGACTGGACACCTGATTAGAAAGGGTGGGTGACACTCCCTCTCCAAAACCCCAAACTTCAAAACAGCATCCAAGTTCCAGAGCTCTAGGAAAAGGAACCTGGCAGCAGTGAATGAAGGGACTGGGAGGAGGAAGAAAGGGAACAGGAGGGCTGATTTCTAAATTCTGGCAATTCTCCCTTGGAAACATTTCCTGGATGCATTTGCTTTTTACCTTGTGCTAGTGTAATGGGACAGAAAAGTTAAAATTTATAGCTTCATTCCTTCGTTAATATCACCCCCCCCCACACCCCACCCCCACCAACAAAGAATACTTTTCTCATCCAGGTGGGATATTTTGGACCAGGGGAGCATGCAGCCAGGGGCTGATCCATGAGTGGGAGGGGTGCAGGGCCCTGAAGTGGCTCTGGATCAGCTTCAGGGTGTGTGAAAAAAGCGGATGGGACGGCAGTGGTTGCATGGCCCAAGAACTGCTGTTAGAGGTTTTGAGAAACGCAAGTAAAGGCCTCGAGGTGTTTTAAAAATAAATTGTTTTATTTTTATTATTTATTATATTTATTTTTATTTATTATATTTATTTATTATTTTATTATTAGATTTTTAAAACAGATAACACATTTATGTGGTGCAACTTTTTAAAGTACACAAGCATGACAGTAGAAAGTAAGTCTTCTACCTACCCCTGTACCTCCCTGAGTCGCCCAGTTCCTTGGGCCTGTGGATTACTCTGTAAATGAATGTTTTTCCTCCCTCCCTCCTTTCTCTTTTTTAGCAGAAACGGTAGCATACTATACATACAGTTCTAAACCTTTAAAAAAAATTATCTTAAATTGCAGCATTATCCACAATAGCCAAGAGGTGAAAGGAACCTAAATGTCCATCCATGGATGAATGGGATAAAGAAAAGGTGGTATATATACATACAATGGGATACTATTCAGTCTTAAAAAGGAAGGAAATTCTGTCACATGCTACCTTGAGAATGAACCTCTTTGAGGACATTATGCTGAGTGAAGTAAGCCAGTCACAAAAAGACAAATACGTCATGATTCCACTTACGTGAGGTCCCAAGCGTGGTCAAATTCATAGACACAGAAAGTAGAATGTGGCTGCCAGGGGCTGAGGCGGGGGACAGGTGGGAGTTGTTCAGTGAGCGTAGAGTTTCAACCATGCAGGATGGGGGGACGGTTCTGGGGATCTGCCACGCAATGATGTGCATGAGGTTGACAGTGTTGTGCTGTACGCTTGGAAACTGCTGAGAGAGTGAATTTTATGTGGGTTTTTTATGCCACCATAAAAATAAAATTATCTTAAGAACGGTCCCATTATCAATCATTACTTTTAATTATAGACGGACCTTAATTCGTTCACCCAGTCCCCTACAGATGAACATTCAGTTTGTTTCCAGCCTGTTTCAATGCACCGATAAAAATTCTTGAACATTTAAGAGTCTGAGGTGTTTTAAAATTACTTTCACTCGCTGAATTGCCTTTCCTTGGCCATGACGCCACTCTGAGATGGACCCGCTGCCCTCTACATACACTAGGTGTAGCTCCATCTCGGAACCTTTGTTCAGTCTGCTCCCCAGACCTTGAAAGTTACCCTGCTCTCTATTTATTCTAATCCTTCTCCTTGTTCAGGAGCCAGTTCAGCGCTGGAGGTGAAGCAGGGCTCTCAGACCACACGCATATCTCTGTCCTCGGAACCCAACAGCCCCTTTTTTTTTTTCCATATCAATAAACATTGTCTTTATTCTGTAAATTAAAATCTATTCACCTATTTCGCATTTTGTTTTCTTTTCTTTTTCAATTTTTTTTAAAGTTTTAAAAATATTTTTGTTAAGATATAGTTGATTTACAGTGTGTTAATTTCAGGTGTACAGCAAAGTGATTCAGTTATATATATATTCTTTCTTAGATTCTTCTCCATTATAGGTTATTACAAGATATTGAGTAGAGTTCCCTGTGCTACACAGTAGGTCCTTGTTGGTTATCTATTTTATATAGAGTGGTGTGTATCTGTGAACCCCAGTCTCCCAATTTATCCCTCTCCCCCTTTCCCCTTTGGTAACCATAAGTTTGTTTTCAAGCACTTCCTATCATCACCTTTCATGAGGGAATTTGATCCAAGCTTGGATTCCTGCAGGGATGCTGTTCAGACAACACACAGCAGTAAAGCCATTCGGTTATTAAAATACTGAAATACTTCCATATCTACTGAGAAACCTAGCTTCCCTGGGTCCCCTAGAGCTCCTCTGTCACCCCAGACCCTTCTCTGGAACTCCCCCTCCCCAAAGCCTCCTCATGAAGCAACCGAAGGCCAAACACCTGATGCATCAGGGAGCCTCCAGGACCCAATGCTAGCACTGGTGCCAACTTTAGGTAAGGTCTGTCTCCACCTCAGTCACACTAGCTTTGAAGATTATATATATGGTGAATTTCACAGGTGGGATCTTGTCTTTATTTCTCTGGTGTTCCCCACAGCACCCGTGACAGGAAACATCACAGCAGAGCATCAAGCCTCCAGGAGCACACACACCCAACTTCCAGGGGCGTTCACTCCTATTCCAGAAAGGTCTAAGCGTCCCAAGAATCTCTCCCGGGCACCCCTGCACTCCGGCGGCTTCTGCTGTGGTGCCACCAAAGCACTCCACAATCCATATCCGGGGAGACCTTCCTTCCTGCGCTCCAGGCCGGCCCCTCCAAATGCCTGCTGGACATTTCCAACTGGATGCCTCAACTTCTTACCTGGGCACAGGGGTGACCTCTGGTTCATGAAGGCCACGAAAATCAAAACCAAGCCACCTCTCCTTTTTAAGTCTTCTCCAGAAGTAAAGAGCGTGGAGAGCCCTTCACCTCCTTCACCTCACTGACTCATAGGAAATGCCCCCGGGTCCACCATTCCCGGGCTTTAAAAAAATAAATTTATTTACTTTTTTATTTGGCTGTGTTGGGTCTCCGTTTCTGTGCGAGGGCTTTCTCTAGTTGCGGTGAGCGGGGGCCACTCTTCATCGCGGTGCGCGGGCCTCTCTCTGTCGCGGCCTCTCTTGCGGAGCACAGGCTCCAGACACGCAGGCTCAGTAGTTGTGGCTGACAGGCCTAGTTGCTCCGCGGCATGTGGGATCGCCCGGGACCAGGGCCCGAACCCGTGTCCCCTGCACTGGCAGGCAGACTCTCAACCACTGCGCCACCAGGCAAGCCCCCACTCCCGGGCTTTTGCAATGCCAGCTTACAGGGGGGATTCAGAAACGGCGCCTCAAAAAGAGGTCAGGACCCAGGCCCTCCTCAGAATCCAGCCTAGCCTTGACTTCAGCCTGAACGCAGACCAGGAATGAAGCAAGTCCCCCGCGATGGCCTGACTCGGACCAAGCCCCTGCTCAGATTTCCCGCAGCTGCCATTTCACAGCTCGCCTCCACATCTCAGGGGGCAGCCCAGGGTCCTAGTTTCCCGCCAGCTCGGCCCGCCGGCCCATCCCACTTTATTCTTAACTCCTTGAGCTCAGCTACAGTCTCCTCTCCCACGGCCCCGCCCCGCAGGCCCCGCCTCCTCCTCCCCTCCGCCTCCCAGCTGCAGCCAGCGCGGGGCCACCGACCCACCCTCACCTCGGAGAAGAGCGCTGCCAGATGCTCCAGCGGCGTGGCGGGCAGGTCCCCGCACAGCACTGCTCCGCGGAGGCTGTCGGGCCCCGGCGGCTCGGGCCTGGTGCGCAGGCAAAAAAGCCCCTTAGCACGAGGCGCGCCGGCCTCGGGTCCCGCGTCCAGCCCCGCGCGCACCGCCAGGCCCCCGGGCCCGGGCCGCACCACCAGCAGCGGCCGCGGCTCCTCCGCGGCCCCGCGGCCCAGGAAGGCATGCAGCAGTTGCCTCGCCTCGGCCGAGCCCGCGCAGCGCTCCCATGCGCCCGCAGCCGGCCGCAGGCTCCGGGCCACGTAGGCCCCCAGGAGTCGCAGCCGCGGGTCGGCGCCGGGCTCCCAGTCCGCGTTCTCCTCAGCCCGCGCGGGAAGCTCCTCGGCGCTCGGCATCGCGCGCTAACCTGCCTGCGGAGGTTTCCCGGGCGACCGGGACGCGGTCAGGACTCCCTCCTCCGCTCCCCTCCTATTGGACACTTGACTACTGTTCCCGCCCACTCCGGTCCAATAAGGTAGGAGAGGCACGGCGGGGGTAAGGGGCGGGGTCGCGTCGCTGTTGCTAGGAAACCAGCAGAGGCTCAGGTTTCGCGTCTGCACTCGTGGATTAGAGGTGCTCGTGGGTGACTGTTCGGGGCCATGTTTATGGATGAAGCGCATGGAGGGGAGATCAAGGATATAAATGCTGCTAAGGAGCGTGCTGGCTAAGGTCACATTAAACTCTTTAGAGGTGTCCTGACACTGAAAGTATTATGGTTCTCCCACCTACTCCCAAAATGTGTAATTCAAAGTTAAAAACAATGTCAAATCACAAAATAGATGTAAGGGAAATCAATCAAAAAAATTTTTTTTTTTTTTTTTTTGGCGGTACGCGGGCCTCTCACTGTTGTGGCTCTCTCCCGTTGCGGAGCACAGGCTCCGGATGCGCAGGCTCAGGGGCCATGGCTCACGAGCCCAGCTGCTCCGCGGCATGTGGGATCCTCCCGGACCGGGGCACAAACCCGTGTCCCCTGCATCGGCAGGCGGACTTTCAACCACTGCGCCACCAGGGAAGCCCCCCAATCAAATTTTTATTTCTTTTTCATGATAACTGAAATATTTTATAACAGTGCTTATGTGGCTACTGAGCATTTAGAATGTGCTGTGCTACTAGGGAACTGGCTTTTTCATTTTCATTTTAATTAATTTAAAATTAAATAGTCACATGTGGCTAGTAGCTGTCATATTAGACAGCTTAGCTTCATAATTTTAATATCAATTATAAGAAAATAAAATAGTTTTACTGGCCTGCTTTGTTCATGCCTTGAGTGTGTGCTTAATCTGAAAAATGGGGGCTAAAACTATGAGATCACTGATTTCCATGAGTATGGCAGCAATGAGTTCTTAAATGCAGCAAAGCACTATTCAATATGTAGGATGTTCAGAGCCTCCCTGTCCTGCCCTTTGTCTGCATCTTGTCTTCAAAAAGGGATAATGTGAAGCACCTTTCCTGACCTCAGAAATTAGCATCTGTCACCTGCTGAGTCCTTCTCCATGCTCAGGATATAAATAGCTTGGCCCTTTGCATGCATGTAAGGTGAGAATGGGACAAGGAAAGGGACAATTCGGGCAGCAGGAGGCCTGCAGTTCTGAAATGAGCTCCTCTCTGCCCTACCACCCTGATTTTAGTCACCAATCAGAGACTGCAGAGTTTCTGGGTAAAAAGAACATTTAGAATGGGCTTCAAAGGAATATTAACAGAATAAGCACTTATTAAAGGCAGCTTAGCTAATAAGAGCCCCTCAGGAAAAGCCAGTAGCTAGAAGGTAAAATGATTGATTTAATAATAACTGGGGCACAGGAGGTGCTGTGATGAAGAGTGTCCACCTTACAACGTGAATCTTTCTGTTTGTAGAGAGTGTTTTGTCAGTTCTGGATTAAACTGTAGGCAGACCAACTATGAGTAAATGGACAAAGCAGAGGTACTAAAACAATTTTTAAGATGGATTTGATAGTTGACATTTCAAAAAAACATCAGGGAAAAATAGAAATGTTGGGGGCTTCTTACACATATCCTAGTTTTGCAGAGTTTTTATTTTGCATATAGGAAGGCATCCTTATCGTTTTAGTGCTTGGGGATTCCAGATGTGTCAATCCTGCTCATATTTTGTGTATAGAGTGAATTCAGGGCCATTAAGTTCCTATAATCTCTTCAAATACAGTTTCTGCCACCCTCACCATGACCTATCTGCCCTACATCCTCTTTGTCCCTTTGCCCCAACACAGAAACACAGGAGCCTGTGGAGATGACTTGAAGGTGTCTGAGAGTGAAGGCTACTGGACACTGGCAATGTCAGCTTTTGCTTTTTTTTCTCCCGCACCACACCTTAATCTCCATTGTAGAAAGAGATTTGGGAGGCATCTATATGGGACTTATTGAAAACAACTGATATTGTCTTTCTATTGTGTAACTATGGTATGAAAAATAAAAGTTACAAGTGTGTTAGTTATCTATTGCTGTGTAACAAATTACCCCAAAAGGTAGCAGCTTAAAATAGCAATGGACACTTATTATCTCACATAGTTTATGGTGGGTCAGGAAGATGGGAGCAGTTTAGCTGGGTGGTTCTGGCTCATGATGTCTCATAATGTTTCAGACAAGATGTTATCAGGGGTTACGTCATCTGAAAGCTTGACTGGGGTTGGAGGAACCACTTCCAAGGTAGCTCATTAGCGTGGCTGGCAAGTCAGTGCTGACTGTCAGCAGGAGGCTTCAGTTTCTCAGCATGTGGAGCTCTCCATTGGGCGCTTAAATGTCTTCATAACACCCTGGCTGCCTTCCCCTAGACCAGGTGATCTGAGAGCAAGACAAGCCCCAATGTCTGTTATGACCTAGGCTTGGAGGTCACACTGTCATTTCTGCAAAAATCCCATTAGTTACAGACGTTCACCTTATTCATTGTGAAAGAGAACTACACCAGGATGTGAATACCAGGGAAGAAGAATCCTTGGGTGCTCTCTGAGAGGCTGGCTACTGCAAGAGGTGTTAAGGAAGATATTAAATTTGTGTAATTGTTCAGATGAAATGATTGCCATTTTTTAAATTCGAAACTTGAACTTGCTTCCATGAGCATTGCATTTTGTATATCAGATTTTTTGCTTGAAATGACTAGGCATAATTCCTGTTCAACACTTTTAAATAATGATCTCTTTAAATTCTGGATAGTCATCATTGACAAGTTGTGTTCACACGAGCAGGTAGTGCAAAATTTAAAGCCTTTTACAATTATTCACAAGTGAACAGTTGACATTATATTTACAGAATCTTAACAGCTCTTCTTTTCTTCCTTGACAAACGTTATGTTGAGATTTCTTGGGATGCTGCTAATGGATAATGAATCTAAATCAACCTTTCTGTATCAAATATTTGAAAATAATGATGAACTTTTAATTCAAAGAACATGCATGCATTGTTAGAATGGTCTCCTCTCAGCCACCTTGAATGCCCTAAGTGAAGATGTCAGACACTCATGGGCAGATATATTGGATACATGTGTGGAAGGAGAGTCCAGGCTACTTGGGGCTCCATCCCGGAGATACACGTAAGAATATTGATTGTTACATTGTGCATAATAGCAAAATTATGGGAAACAAACCAAGTGTTCATCCATGATAGAATGGATAAATAAATTACGGTATATACTATTCATAGAATACAATACTATACAGCAGTGAAAATGAAAGGACTGTAGTCGTATGCATCAACAGGATGAATCTCAAAAGCATAATGTTGTACAAAAAGGGCAAGTTACAGATGAGTACATTAGAGTATATTTATTAGAAGTTTCAAACCAAATGAAACAAAGAATATTTTTTTCAGGCAGATATACATATGTAGTCATCTAGAGAAAAGTAAGTGGGTGATTATCACGAAATTCAGATTTTGATCCCTTCTTGTTGGGGACAGAGAGGCATGGGATGGTGAGGGGCACACGGGAGCCCCTGGTAATGTTTTATTTCTTAACCTGGCTTATGCCAGGTTAAGAAATAACCTGGCATAAGCCAGGTTATGGGGTTAAGAAATAACCTGGCATAAGCCAGGTTATTTTCATTTTATCATTCATCTTAAACTGTACATATACATTCTGTACTTATTTGTATGTATGATATACTTCACAATTATAAAAAAGGATGTGTCATTTCTTATACTCTTGAGTGTTGTGGGGAGTTCATTTCAGTTACTGGGAATAAATGCTAATAATTCATTAGATTTCTGAAATTACACATCAGACATCTTTAAAATGGTGATTGACCAATTTTACAAATTTTATATTAGGTCTATTACTGGTGACTTCTTTCTTATCAGCCCTATCTTACTTTACTTCTTGGCTCTGTTCAACCCAGGAGATTCCAGATTCACTAGTCTCTTAGCTTCCATGACAAGTGTCCTCCTCTCGGGCACTTCCTCTCATTCTCCGACTACTCCCTTTTTGCCCATCCTTTCCATCTAAGTGTTGCTTGGACGTCTCTCAGAGCTTCTGGTCCTCTCACTTTAAAATCTCTCCTTGGATGAACTCACCCATCCAAGGCAGCGATTCTTTCCTTTATACTAATGGCCCTCAAACCCATATCTCCAGCCCAGAGCTAGGGAGATATAACATTTTAGGATAATACCTGTGTTCTTCTCAAAGGTCTGTAAAAACTGTTCCACTGTTTTCTGAAATGCAGTGTTGGAGAGAAGTATGAAGCGAGCTTGATTTTTGTTCCTTTGTAGGTAACATTTTGAAACCACATGATTGTTTAAGGAACTTTTTTCTCCCTTTTTATTTTTGTGATTTAAAAAAATGTTTTAGGATATAGGTAATGTCCCATTAAATTGATTTTTGCCTGAAATTATGAGAGCCCACTTGGTTCTCATAATGACGTGTTTCTTCACAGCAGGACAGATTGTTCTATGGAATCTTTGACTGTTACTTATTTTCCATTTGCACTCTCTGGTCTGGTTTTCTGGTAATGTAAACCGATGGAGTGTGCTAACAATTACAAGTAGGGGATGCGTTTTGAAATTGTAATTGAGGTTTTCCATTCCTATATGTTTGGATGTTGCCCTGTGGCTCTTTACTCGGTGGCTTATTGACATGAAATGCCTTGGGATTGTGGCTACAGCCTGAAACAGCCCTTTGAATTTCTCAATAGTTTTTAAATACAGAACAGAGACAATAGCGGTGAAAACCAAGCTATTTCTTTTCTTTTATTGTAAGAGCCAAGCACTTAAGAGGGAGAAAAGGTTTATGCTGTGTTGCTTGTTTGGTTTAATTCCAAGAGCTTGGCTTTGAATATACAGGGCAGAGTCTGGAGGATGAAGAGGTTAGAATGTAAATGCTAGGCTGTAGGTGGATCAGAGCGCTTGGCGATCT